GGGCCTTCTCCTTTGCCTCTGCCAAGTGCTGGCGGAGCTGCCCCGAGAAGTTGCGCGCGTTCCGTTGCATCTGCTCGACCACTGCGGCCTTCGCCGCTTCGACGGCCTGCTTGGCCTCCTCGTCCAAGTCCTCCTCGTTCATGTCGAACTCCTTGGCGATGACGCTAAGCAGCTGACCGTCTGCCAGGTGGTCGGTGTCGCCTGTTATGAGCTGCTCGACGATGCCACGGCCCGCCTGTGAAGCCTCCTTGCCTTCAGCATGGATCTTCTCGATCTCCTCTTCGGCTAGCAGGACTGCCTCGGCCTTCTGCGCGAGCGCCTGCTTGGCCTTGATGGCTGCATCGTCTGCAAACTTCTTCTGCTTGAAGGCCGCTGCGTAGGCGATGTTGGCGCACTCCAGCTCACGTGCCGCAATCGCCAGCCTCACGGCCTTCGACGTCGGCGGCTGCGGGGGCGTTGCTGCTGCTGCCTGCTGGAGCGCGCTTGCCGCACCTGCCAGCTGCTGCTGGATCTGCGCGCCATTCGCCAGCTGCATCTTGTCCAACGTGGAGGTGACCACCTACAGCGCCTGTGCCAGGTCGGCAGTGGTCTTTCCGCCGCTAGCAGCTCCGTGGTCTTGCTGGTACTTCTTGCCTGGGCCTGGAAGCATCTTGCCGCACGTGCACCAGTACTGCATGTCGGGCAGGCTCTCCTTCCACCACCAGGCTTTGCAGCTCTTGCAGGTGATGTAGTCCTGGTGCTGTGCCGACTGCTGGTGCTGCAGCTGCTTGGCCTGGTGCTGGTGCTGCTGGTCCTGCTGCTGCTGGTCCCAGTCTTGACTCCACCAAGCTTGGCTGCCCTTGGGGAGTCCCCCACGTCCCATCTGGGGTGCTGCGCTGCCGTGGTGCTCCTCGAGCACCGTCAAGTACTTCGCTGCCTGCAGCACCTGGCGCGCAGTGGCGCGCTGCCGTCGCTGTCGCCTGTGCCAGGCGGGCGACGGGCTGCGCTTCCGCGCTCCCGTCCTGTTGGCCCTCGGCCCCTCTGACAGGGGCGGCGAGGAGGGCACCTTCCTGCGAGTGCCGGGGCCAGGGTCGCGCCTGCGGCGCGGTCGCGCCAGCGTCGCTGGGGGCTGCCGCAATGGGTCCGCCGCGGCCCGCCCGCCCCGTGGGCGAAATGGCTTTGGGGCCCCCGCACGGAGGAGCCATGCTGAGGAGGGGGAGGAGGAGGAGGGGGAGGGGTGTTAGAGTAGAGGGAAAAGGAGGAGAGGAGGAGGAGTGAGGAGGAGGAGGAGGGGGGGGCAGGAAGGATAGAAGGAAAGGAAGGAAAGGAGGAGAACAAAGGAAAAAAAAAAGAAAAGAAAAGAATGGAGGGAAGGACAAACTGGTGAGGGCGGAGAAAGCAGCGGAAAAGAGCCCAAACAAGGAGCGACCAGAGAAGGGGCCAACCTGAGCGTGCATAGAAGAGATCGAAGGGCTATATTAATCGTAAAAGAACATAAATCTTAGGTATTCGCCCCCGAAAAAAAAAAAAAGGTGGAGCTTCGGCATCGTGGAACGTCCCACGGGAGGGGCGCCCTTGAAAAATTGGATATGGAGTGAAGAAGGTAAGATCGGGGAAAAGAAAAGAGGGGAAAGAAATAAAAAACATGAAAAAAATCGAAAAACCTAAAAACGAAAAAATAAGAAAAAAAAAAACAGGAGGACAATAAAAAGTTTGTTCGAAGAAGGGAGAGATTAAGTCAAAACAAAAAGGGGTCTGTTACAAAGGGAATAATATTTTATATTTTTCGTCGATCTCAAACGTACTTCTTATGAGTCATTTTCGGGTATATTTTTTTTTGGGTTAGTTTAACATTTTTTTTTTTTTTTCGTACGTTCTTCGAGACTCCGCCGCCGACCAGGAGTACCGTATGCCCCGAACCTGAGCCCGCCCAGCAGTGTGCAGATCCCATGGCCGGGGCCGCCCGCGATTTCTCCCCGCGGCACGGCCCCCTTTTATTTCGGGGGGGGGGGGCTTGGCACGTCCGCTGGCCCCCCTCGCCCGCGCACGTGCCTCGGGTCATGATCTGCGCCCCCCCCTAGGAAAGGCGCTAGGATGAGGAGGATCGGGAGGAAGAGGGGGAGGAGGAGGAGGGGGAGGAGGAGGAGGAGGAGGAGGAAGACCAGTGTAAACCCCAAAGTCATCAACGACGTTGGAATGAACCCTCCCACCAAGCTCCCTCTTCATAGGCCACTACAACGGTTCATTTTCATTGGGTGAGCTGCCTCGTTGGAAGAGAGCCTTTTGAAGAGCCTGAAGCATGCCAAAACATTGTTCTCGGGATTCCAACGCACTGTTGCGTCTTGGCGGTCCTGAGTAGTGCCAGAACGCCATTCTTGGGACTTCAGCACCGCGAGCGAACGTAACTGTTGCACTCTCATAATCCTGAATCCTTCCAAAATGCAGTTTCTCGTTCCTTGATCATGAGAACCCGTGAAACTCTTGCAAATTGCATAGACGAATGCGCACGGCGCCAAGGCGAGAACCACATTTTGAAAACGACCCGGCCTCAATCCGTTAAGCTTTTGCACATTTTTAAACAATTTTGCGCGGCGCAAAGGCGAGAGCCTTAATTTTTGAAAACGTCCCGCCCTCAATCCATGAAGCTCTTGCACATTTCTAAAACGAATGTGCGCGTCGCTGAGGCGAGAACCACATTTTGAAAACGACCCGCCCTCCTTCCATGAAGCTCTTGCACATTTCTAAAACGAATGTGCGCGGCGCTAAGGCGAGAGGCACATTTTCAAAACGACCCGCCTTCCATCTGTGAAGCTGTTGCCAGTTTTGAAGCTTCAGGGTCATAAATGGTGACGAAGTCTCAGGCGAAACGCCCGGCCCGCCCTAAAGGCTGGCCTCGGGGTGCGACAGGGAGAAGTTATTGATAAGGACAAGGAATGGAGGAGGACGCCCCCGAGCTCGTGGGCGGAATTGCCACGAGTCAGGCGGGTCCTGAGGGAAACGGGTCCTGCGGCGTTTCGCCGTTCCTGGCCTCGCTGGGCCCTACACGGGCCTCGGGATGGCTTGAAGCTGGGTCGGGCCGAGAAGCTGGTCTGGGGGGACGGCCCTGGAGTCTAGGACCCGTTTCTTTCAGAACACGTGAGCTTCATGCCACAGGGAAGATATATGCTCGACGTCGAGGTTCGAGGAGGGGAGCAAAGGGGGAGGTCAAAGTTCGAGGAGGGGGCTTGGCTCGGGAGGAAAGCATCGACCCCCAGTCGCCTATCCCTCGCCGACAGGGGCCTGACAGCCCACCCCGCTCAGGAGCGCTCGTTTTCGCTGCTCTGGGCCAGCTGCCTACTTAACGGCGATGTATCGCCAACTCAAGCTCGATGTTCCCCCCCCCCCCCCCTGTGCTGGTCCTTGGTGTTGTTTCCCCTCGAGGGGGGGTGAGTGTGGGGCTTCGAGGATCGAGGATGGAAGGTGTAGGTTTTCGTGCGCGTGTTTCGTTTTCTGGGGAGGGGTGTTATTTCAGTTTTTTATTAAACAGCAGCGATACTGACCAATGACCTTCTGGGCGACGAGCCTTCTGTAACGGCAAGATGAACATGTCACGGAATACATGTTGGAGGTGATGATAATATTAAGGAGACGGAGGACAAATTGGATGCCTGAAGTGATCCAAACTAGGTTCGTATTTACGTAGTGGACGGAGGCATGCGGTAGGAGGTCATATATTAATGAGGAACGGTGCACGATATCGAACAGTGAGTACTGGTGCATTTGTGCAAGAAGGTGCAGAGACAAAGTAACCCGCTGAGCGAGTAACAGAGGGGATCATCGTGATGAAAACTCATTCGAATTCGTGTGCGGGGGTCGCAACCTATCATTGCGCGGGACGTAGAACGGGTCAGTCGTTTGTAGAAGTCGTTGTTAGTCGACTGTCAAACGGGGGCCGCGGCCTAGGTTGCTCGACAGAACGGATTCCCACGGAGCAGACAGCTGGCCAGGCGGCGGAGGGCAAAGCGATTCATCAGATCAGCGGACGAGTTGCAGTGGTACAGGTGTTTGCACCGATTCACATCCTGGTCAGGCGTCTGAGACAATAGGTTCCCAACTATGCGAAACATGGAAGCCCATGAGACGTCGTTCCGGGGACCCCCGGGTCTGGATGCCTCCAGAGGCCGACGTCGTAGGTATGGATTGGGGAAAGCATGAGGTGGGAGGAAAACTGAAGGAGGGAGGATGAGGAATGTGAGAGGAGGGAGGAGGGAGGGAGGGAGGGAGGGAGGGAGAAGGAAGGATGTATGCAAGAACGCGGAGGAGGTAACCCGGATAAGCGATTAAGGAACCCCCCCCCCCCCTCTCCGGTGAAAAGATAACGCACCCGGCACCCGGAAGCGTTATCCTGGCACCAGGAGGGGGTACACCATCCTGAAAGAATGAGGAAACGCATGCGGAGGAGTCAGAGAGCTTCAGTGGCCACGCGTCTTTCCAGTGCTCGACCCTCGCTGTTCGGTGCCGTAACCATGTACACTGATCCACTCCTACTCTGGCTCGGGGATTTATTTTGGTCCTGCCGGGTGCTAAGATAACGCCGCGGTGCGGGGCGGGGGCGATACCCTGG